TATTGATAACTCGCTCTGTATTTGATGCGTTCAGTATTTTTGTATACATGTATGCGCTGAAGTTAATTTCGCGTTAACAATATTGATTTGTTCTAGTGTTTTGTAGCGTGCGCTATCAGACCTACAGTCACAAAACATGCATACTAACTACTTTCTCGTTTTGGAATTTGTTTGCGAAAAGAAATACAAATGCGTGCCAGATAACAAATATTGTCGGCGACGCTTCATTTGAGGAAATTTGTATGTAAGCAAATCTATATATACTGGTGTGCGAGTACGGTGATTTAATCACACGCACACACAAGCAACAATATGGATCAACATGACAAGCACACCGAGAGAACTAACCCTAAAGGTCCGGCGATAAGAGCAGGAATCATGATGTGACCTTTAGTTTTCCCTGTGACCACTTTTGGTTATGTACCACTCACGTCTTAACTAGGATATGCAAATAGTATAATATAACAGCTCTATCTATGTATAGTACGTAACTCTCATGTACTAGCTATGATGTACTTATAGTATAGTCTAGTAACAATCATGTATGACACAGTATTCGAGTGTATGCTACAACTCATTCTAGTTTCAATGTAAAAGTACTGTGTTTTTTTTTGGAAGGCTATGCAAAAATGTCAAAAAGACCAGAATTGTGATGACGTTTTCATATGTATTTATTTATTTCATATGTTGTGTGTAAATATTTAACTAAAATCGATGACGGCGACAAATATGATCATGAATATGATGCTGTTCGTCAGAATCTCATCTCGATATATTCATGAACCTCTACTAGGGAAGAAATAACATAATGTGCCTAATCGGACTGTTATCCGAAGGATGGCCGCTATATAAATAGTTTATGTATTTTAGAGGGATATGATAAATACATATCTCTTTTGGCAGTTACTTAAACCGCCGCCCTGTATATACTTATATGAATTCACTTTTCAAGAGCAATATGTCCTTCGAAATACAGCAGATAAACACATTACATCTACATTAGGTAGAAGGCATAGATGAAGATCCTCTGTCATATATACTGATAAACTCCCAGAGCGTATGTTGTCCATTTCGACTTTCAATTATATATCTCGTGTTTCTGTTATATTCAACGTTATCCATTTCTAACCTGAAGCAAGTTTCATTTCGATGAATGCAATTTGCTTGTTAACTGGTCATATCCAGCGTTCAGACCTATTTGAGTACAAAATGATATCTGTAGAGTGGGATACCAATCCCAATTCAGTCAATTGTTGACGCGAGCAAGTATTTAAAAGGGCACTTGCATGGTGTATCTGCAAGGCAAAGGAGATATTGGAATTGAGTTTATTGGTTACAGCATGACAAATTTCCTTTGTAAGCGCTTCACTTTTTAAAAAGATGAATTTGATGTGTTCATAGATGCATTAAACTCTAATAGCTGCTATTTTAAATAGGTAGCCCGGAGGCCAAGCTACACAACATGCACCAACAATTTAAAACAAGCGGATCTTTCCAACTCTTGCATAGTGCTTGTACCTGAGTTTTGATGCTTTTAACGTCCTTAGTATACTGAGATATTCATACAGCACTATTTGCTTGTTTTAAAGTGCTCTAATAGTAACTATTATAACTATATCTGCTTTTCTATTTAGAGTGTGTATACACAAGTATTTAGAATAATTTCACGCTACTAAAATAGTTTATCTATAGTGTTTTTTTATTAAAAAAATATCGTACGAACGTCATTAAATACGTCATATTTATTTACGCAAGTACTGTACAGTGTACAGTATTTACATTTTCTATTTTCTTGCTATTATTTTTTTTAAACATTTGTTTACAATGTTTTCAAAAAGACTCTCGTTTTGGTATTTTCTAAAACAAACCCCTTTTTATAAAATGACCGTTCAAAATCCAAACTCCAAACTCCAAACTCCAAACTCCAACTGGCAAACTCCAAGAATACAAATGGTTTTTTAGAAGGCTATGCTCCAATTCCAAAGTCAGAAATAAATATTAAAAAGCAGTAAAAACCGGTGATTGTTTTTGAAAACTGCCAAATACACTACCCTCGGCGAAACCCATCTTTAGATTTTTATTATTTTGGTCTATATACTATATATAAATATTACATATTTTAAATTTGGATTGTTTTATTATTATTATATTTGTTTTTACATTACACAGTACAAAAAATACAAAATATATATATATAATTTACAAGGCTATGAGTCATTGTTAAAGTAAATATATTGAATCTCGATCGAGATTCTCATGAACTAATTGAGTGACTCAACCCACGTCCCACGACCCACGCCGCACAGCCCACAGGTACCCGAAAATCGGAGTCCTTTCGAATTGACCTAAGCTCATAGCGTTTAACCTTTAAAGTTTAGCTTATAAATACGTTGCAACATTTAAATACTGGTATGTATATATGTTGAACACGGCAATAGATATATACTCTTCATTATTTATATGCTTTCCAACGTATAACGTTATGAGCTTAGGTGGGGACTATACCATTGTGGGGCGTGTCCTCAACGGAAGTCGACACTCGACAAGGTATTTTGAAAAAATTATCAAAGTAATGGCAAAATCTGAAAATCTGAAAATCTGAAAATCAGTGTGAAGTGTAAAAAAAAAAATCTTTTTAAAAATACATGAGAACATTTTGAATATTTTGGAGTTTCTACTCTCACAGAGTATCAACTGTTTACTCTTTCTCTCACTAGAGCGAGGCCAAGAAATTTAAAAATGAGAACCTATTTATTTAGTCAATAACTATAGCCTACAATCAAACACAAAAAAGGGTGTTATGTTTTTAAAATAATATATACTTTTAAAAAAATGGTGAGAACTGAGGAGGGACTCCGGACTTCCGGTTTTTAAATGAGCCAGTCAAATATGAATAACCTTTTGGAAAGGGATAAATATATAGGATAGCTATGTAGTCGCATAGTATAATCAATTAAAAAGCTGATAAATGCAGCTCAGACAAATTAATGACGATCGCTCGTTGGCTGTACTATTGTATCATCATAGCTGGTCTTAATGGCCGTAAGCTAGATGAATCTTTTCGTGTAGTGATCAATGAGAAGTCACACTAAATCGCTCTTTTACAATAGTATCATTGATAAGTGTTAAATAACTGGATTTCCACGATACCTTGTGGCTTGTCAGTTGTTACATATTGTTTTTGGATTATATTTTTTAACACAATAATAAGAGTTTTTTAAATTTTGAGTTTATTAAAATATAAGACTTAATGAAATATAAAGTGTCATTAGTCATAAGAGTTTTTGTTTTTTTTTAAAGACAGCAATTTTCGCTATAAACTATAAAGAGAACTGTTACCGGGCCCGTATGATATAATCGAAAAATAGTTCACTGCAATAAAGAAATAGTTGCCTCAAATAAGTGTGGACCAACGAATGTATAGGAATGATTTTTCACAATAGTGATATTTTGCTAAAAAATTTGAGGTCTACTTTCCGAGAGACGTGACGAACACGTTGTAATTTGTAAACTAATAATAGAAAAATATTTAAAACAAAAAGAAGTATAGACTTCATTTATCGATTACCATATTTTTAAAAGGCATCGAGTTACCGACAGATTAGGGGGTTACTCGGAAAAGTTAGAATATTTAACGGTTAGCCGGTATGTGTCAAATGACAAGTCACTCAAGTGAACTTTTTTAAAAAAGAATATATTTATTCATTGTGTGCCTCAAAAAGTCGAAACGTTTGTGCTAAAAAATAAATACTTTACATAGTACACGCTAAGCAAAGCAATTATAAAAGGAGATGCGATTTCAGATCAGACCATCACTTTACTTCACCTTCACACTTGATAATAAACTACCTAAAAGGTTACAATGTTAATCGCCAATCTGAAAATGCCAATACTGCAGCGCAAGTCACCAAGCATCTATTCCGAATTGGAAGGTGCTGTCGACAGTGATGTTACATCAGCATTTAGTCTTGGGACTGTCAATTCCGAGAGTGAGAACAGCCCACCCTGTAAAGAGCAGAAATGCAGTGCATCGAATACTGATCTAATTAGTAAATCGATTGATAATAGGGAGGATGCAGAAGCTTTTCAACTAGATTCGCAAAGCAACCGTTATACTCTACCAGAATTGCCAATGCCAACGCCTACACCAATGACGGCACACACTACTACCCCTCGAGGTATATTGAAGCAAAAACCCATGTCATCGCATAGGCGGGAGAGTATCGCACAGAGCCAAAATACAAATATTCGGCCTAAATCTACGTGTAAAGTTTTAACTCCCCACTATGACAGACAACGGTCACAACAAAATCCGTCACCGCAGCCAGGTAGGAGAGGATCCTTCGCGCCTCGTACTCAGAATCCTCAAATACGTAATACTCGTATATCCATGGGAGAAGGGAATGGACAGCTGACGACTCCTGCATATAGTGAAAGAAGAAAGTCCATTACTAGCAATATGAGAGAAGGGAATGGACAGCTGACGACTCCTGCATATAGTGGAAGAAGAAAGTCCGGTGCTAGCACTGGAACCTGTGCAGATTTTATATCCAGGGAACCATTGAGCACGCGAGGACTCAAAAAGAAGCAGCATAAACGGGTCGCATTCAGTACCAATGCCGATGTGGTGAATGAAACATACGACAATTGTGTGTACGAGAGAGGCTGTAAAAAAACAACTGCCAAGTATTCTTCCAAGTTGACGGACATGAAAATATACAAAGTACTCTGCAAATACAAATTCACTGAGATGCCGATGCATCAAGACTCAATCCAAAACATTGATTTCCGCATGGCGCATGTCCAAGGTGACGAGATGAAGGCACAGAAGAAAGTTTTGGCAAAATTGGGATACCGAATTCCTTCAAGGAACTCACAGTCGTTAGTGAATTTTACACAAAACCAGCGGCACCCAAGTGTATCCTCGCTTCGCAAAGTTGCGCAAAATTAAACTACGGATAAGATCATGCATATCAGTATCAATATGTTGCGTACTTCAGTATCAGAGCATTGCTTTTCGTAGACCGTGAATAGCACATCCAATTTCAACGCCTAGTACAACTCTGGCGTCTGTCATAACGAACCAAATTGAGACTCACCGTTGTTAAGCCACACCAGTGCATCTTTTGTATGTGTCATGGAGCACTCAACTAAATAATCAGTACTCCGTATTAAATAATTTCCAGTCATTAATCCAAATCCTGTCGAATAACTGAAAGTGAAGCGTCATTGTACTTGCATGGAAATCACATCTTGCCGATCTGAATCAAATCCTATATAGATATGATCTCAGAGTCACCGGTAGCAGATTGCAGCTCGACGTTTTCTAGGCGCCGAATAGACAAATGAGTACAAAACGTCACTCGTACAACTTTCGGCATTGTAAGGGCTGGTATGTTTTTCTGTGGCGCGTACTGATCTTTCTCCGGCCTGTGTTTAAAAGGTTGCAGCGCTGACAATATCGCCAGATATGACATCCCTAATAAAAAGCTAAATAAGTTTAAGCCCAGTAAACCTTATTTTGCTCTGCTACCACTCAGACTGGTGAAAGGTGGGGGTCTACAATTTCAAGTTTCAAATTGTATAAATTTTCATCTAACGTATACATTTTTCCATAGGTTGAGGTATTGAATTCAGCTGATGATGGCCACTTGTACATAATGCAACTGTAATAATACCAAAAGTTACGCTGCAAGCATACGATACATTCAATAGTAGATGATGTTGTCATTTTTTTAATGCTCATGTTGTACTGCAATTTATATATATTGAGCCTATATGTCGACGTTAGCATATCGCTTGATAGCACCTTACTTTTTGAATCTCTAACCTTTTTGCACAGTTTTCGGGTCGAATCGCCTTGTAATGTCAATGTATTGTATTTGAATTTTGATGCCACATTAAGATCCAGTGCATACAACCGCTGTTCTTATGCGACTGAAGTACTAACTAAGTGTTAAACATATCCTCACAGAAGCACGTAGTAAAGTGGTACTATATACCTTATCCGTGAGATTGAGATACATTTATCGGTAGCCTTTTTCGATTATTATAACTACCTGTATATTTTAATGAACTGGAAAGTTGTTAATCCAACTTGTTCTAGGCAGTTGGTATCAGTAGCGAGGTAAAAATCTTCCGTAAAAATCATCCTTCCGCAGTCCGTACACTCGTACAGGAACGTCGCCTTTGATAATCATATGAATCGAATACAACTGTGTGATTCACATTGACCTTCAATAAAATAGATAAATGTCTTTAAAAAAAATATTGTACGCCTACATGGCAATACGGTTGTGGCCTTGTGGGTGGTTGCTGAGCTGCTTAGGTAAATAAATAGCCTACTCGTCCCCAAGTCTCTACTCCTCATGAAACCCACAAGTTGAAAGTGCTCAAAAATTTAAAATATCCAAGAACCCTCTTGTTTCTATATAAAACTGTGCCCTCGACGGATCGCAGTTCGCACGGCTCTGGTGAAATGCAAATATTCTGTTTGTTTTATTTTGTTTTTTTAACAAAATATGAAGAACAAACAACAAAATGTTCGTCGTTCTTTTTGATATATAAAAAAGACAATGTTCGTCGTTAGATGTTCTTGTGTTTTTTTTTAACAAAAGCAAAGCAAAACTGGCAAGAAGCCAAGAACGACCAAACGTATTTTTTAAAGAAATACATTAAAAACTCTCAAATTCAGTGAATCGCTAAAATCTAAATATATGATATATTGTTTTAAAAAAAATCAAACAAAAAATCACCTGGACTGGTTTAAGGTATGACCGTCGGAAACTGCTTCACTATGACGACATGTCTGGACGTCATGTCGTATATTACAGTCAAATATATGATATACGTCATGATTTTCTCTTAAGAATACATATCGCGATGGGTCGGAAACTAATTTGCAAAGAAGCCTTGTCTTTGTCGTATACCAACCAGGCCAAGAGATCTCGCTTATTATTATATTTCTTCTCTCTGCTGGGGAGCACAGGCCACAGACTCACAGAGGGTCATGAAATAAATATTGTATTTTGTTATTATACTAAAAAAAAGTGAAGTTGAATAAAAGTTTAAAGAAATGGAGGTACAAGTGACAGTAAGAGTCAAGAGTCAGAACTCAGAACTCAGAACTCAGAACTCAGAACTCAGAACTCAGAACTCAGAACTCAGAACTCAGAACTCAGAACTCAGAACTCAGAACTCAGAACTCAGAACTCAGAACTCAGAACTCAGAACTCAGAACTCAGAACTCAGAACTGACTTCATATCAGCTTATCATGTCACTCTGATTTTTATGATTTTTTGTTCTGTTTTTAAAAAAACAAAACAAAATAAACACAAATTAAATATTTTACGAGTTTTCAGTCTTCAGGCTTCAGCAGGGCCAGGTTCAGGCTTCAGAAGAGTTTCATCAGTTCTGTCACCCTGGTTCACTGTTCACCGTTCAGACTGCAGAATCAGACTTCAGACTCCAGGAGTCCAGAGTCCAGTCTCCAGACTCCCCAGAGGGTTCACTTTCTTCAGACTCCCCAGAGAGTTCACTTTCTTCAGACTCCTAATAAATAAATAATAGCCTAAAATAATAGGGGGGGTTTTTTTATAAAGATCAAAAATTAAAATCAAAATTCTGGTGGAATTTTTTTCCCTTCGGATGAGTTTTGTTTGAGCGGAAATCAAGGTTTGTCATGGCGGAAATCGAAAATTTAGCAAAGACCCAAATCCAGAGGGCCGTGTTTTGTCTTCATTTTTTCAACAATAATGTATTTATCTATTTATTTCATGATTCTAGACTATTAGAACTTAGTATGTCTACTACCATGCCAGTAGTGGTTTGAATTGATTTTTGCACCAATACTACTATATAAGAACATCCCAGTGTGCCATCAGAGGTATTCAGATTCCCAAGTGAATAAATGATTTTGTGAGCGTTGAATACCTCACGTACAACATGGCACTCTTCAACATGAAATTTATAGCAAATATGAAACGCAGAATATCAAGCAAACATACAAAAACAAGGGATACTGATGATATCAACAGTCGTTCTACATTCAGTTTAAGATCTCTTGAGCTAAGTCGCACAATTTACGAAAAGGAACATTCGGAGCACGAGGTGGAAGACAAAGGGAAGCTCCGCAACAGAGATTCAAGCAAGAAAAAACAGGACCCAATATATTCGGAACAGATGGTTTTCTCGGTAGCCGAAAGAGATGTCTCGGATAAAACACGCAGTTTGCCATCCCCCGCAGGGGTTCGTGATGATACAGGCGTAGAGGATGATTCCATGCAACTGTCCTTAAATGCGGCGTTATATAGTAATCACGCAACATATACTAATGGACATCTTGGTCCTAAATCTATCGGTGATTTTTCAGAGGCCGGGTCGAATCCGAACAAACAACAGTCGCGGACACCGATCAACGCAATATATACCAATGGTCATCTTGGTTCAAAATCTATCAGTGATTTTTCAGGGACCGGGTCGAGAGTGCAACAGCCGCAAACACCAAGGAGACGAGCTTCGCACGTTCACCAGAACTATGCAATCCCGCAATATCAATCAAGAGGATCTTGCAGTAGACCGCCACCACCAGTACTGGCGCACGATTCGTATTTCCAGCGACATTCCGACGCCGGCTATGCATACAACTCAAACCTTAGATCCCCAGGCCGACGTGTACCCTCAAACAATAGTCGAATTCATTGTCGCAGAGTCTCGTTCGACACTGATAAGAATATGATAGGAACCACATACGTGTCATCTGTGTACGAGCGAGGTTGTAAGGAATCATGCAATCGCCTTGAATCTAAAATGACTGATATGAAGATCTACAAGGAACTATGCCAGTATAAGTTTACCGAAATGGCGACACATCAAGATTCGATGCATAACATCGATTTTCGCCTGACTTATGCTAAGGGCGACGAGAGGAAGGCACAATTGAAAGTTTTGTCGAAGCTGGGGTACACCGTTCCGGTCCAACACAGATGGCCGTTTCAATAATACAACAGACAGCGTTAAAGAAAAAATAGTATCTGGAAGCCTTTTGAATTACGGATTCCGTGGCTATGAAAGGCGCGCCGAAAAATCGTAGGGATTTGAAAAACCTCATATTTGATACTCCCTGTGAAATAGTCTGTTAATTTCAAAGTCGCGATTCGCGAACGTTGGACTCGGTAGTTAAAGAACACAAATATTTAATACAGTCGAATAATACCACTAAGCCGCCTATTGTCGGGAAAATTGAATATTGATTTTAAGATCGCGGATGAAGTAGTGATACAGACGAACTTTAAATTTACTGTTGTACTATTTTGCTACGCATGCAAGCCCCCGCAGGGAATATTTACCTCTGAATTTCGTACAGACATATGATTGTCGACCACGTATAGTTGTGAGACGTATCTGTGTGTAAACAGGTGAACACTGCTGAAAGGAATGAACATGCCTAGTCAGAAAGTATGGTTCAAATTTGCGGGAGCAGCGCGTGCCATGGAGTGAACAACTTGACAGGTAGATAAATTTTAGAACCAATAGTTTTCGCGCAGTCCTGGAGAATACAAATAAACAAACTCCTATCTTTTGCTGAATCACCTTGACACTTTTTTTTTTGCTCACAACCGTTCTATATGAATTCCTATGGGGCGTCGGTTGAGTATTAATATGGTTCCGGTTAGAATGCCGTGGTGTATATTAGTTGAGGTGATAGCTAGAATGCGCGGTTGTAGGATTTTGGATATAAAAGGATGATGGATCATATCGCAGCAACGCAGAGGTATCTTATTCAAGTGTCACTTGCCCTTTAAGTTGCTTAAGCTGCGCATTTATCAATATCTGTTGTCTCAATCAACTCAAATAGCGAGATATATATACAGACCACAATGGACGTCGCCTTCAATTCTGTTACTCGACGGTGTTCTACCCCCGTAGACTATAGTCAACGATCGAGCGGTAGTGAGAAGCGTGATGTACAATCACATCAACTGAGTGTACGTAGATTAAATTCGGGCTACTCAGAATTTAAAAGTCTAAGTGCACATCCAAAAATCGGATCTCCAGAGGAAACGCGATACATTTTGGATTCGAGCAGAAAAGATACTTCGCGTTTTAAGCATAGCAGTAGTGTCCCCACTTATCCCGGTACTAACTGCAGCACTCGAACAGAGCTCGTTGTGCACGAGTACCGATCTATTGCCGTTGAGTTGCAGCAGTATACTTGGGATACAAATTCGTGTAATGACTTGAGAACAGTGCCGGAATTAGGCGCACCGTTGACTTCACCATACAAGGCGAAAGTCCAACCATTTAATGAGTGCCCTGGTGTTGAACTAGCCGCTCTTAGCATAGCGGACAAACACGTCGACAGCTGCAGTATACCACAGCCCCTGTGTCGATCCCCAGAGTCATTCGATGCTTGCAGCCCGGGGTTGGCGCATGACCTTTTTTTCGAGTCTTCAGCGGTCATTGTTCCACCATATTCTTCTCCTGTACCACTCCCTCTGACATACGAGCACTCTACGCCGTTACCACACAACGCGACATCCGCAGATAGCGAAGCTCTGCTTAAGTGTGGCACTTTTGCAGAATCAGCGGGTGAGAGGTGCGAAGAGTCCAGGAAGAAAAACGACACCGATAAGAGCTCAAAACTGAACGCAGAGCGTTTGTTGTTAGAAACATCAGAGGTACAGCTGGAGGAAAGCTGTGATAGCCAGCAGTTCTCGACATTGCTTGCTTTCATCAATGGTGACTATCCAGTACATAGTCGAGCGGCGTTCCAGCCAGGCCCAGCTAAGCACACGCCAAGTGGCACTGGAGCAGAAGCCAAGGAATCATCAACTTTGGACAAGACCTTGGAGATCGTCCAGAATGTGCCAGAAACCGCTGTCAAGTGCTTGGTACCATCGATTCAAAAGAGCCCAAAAACGGATGTCAATTGCCTCGGAGACTATCTATGCGCTTGTTTCGCTGGTTGTCAACATAAGGCTGTCCGCACGAAGGACTACGTCTACGCAAGCAGTAGTGGAAGTGAATGCGGAGATTTTGTGGATATCGCGGGAGCACTCGATCACGAACACGGCAACAGAAGTCGAAATGTATCTCCGGCTGATGGTTGGAAATGCAAGGACATTGCACAGCGTGTGGCGCCTAATGGAGACAGGACTCCGGATCGGTCCACCCATGCTTTCAGTGCTCTTGGTTCGAATTGTAATTTGCCGAAGTTGACATCTCCGTACAAAATGGGTTCCAAGTTTTTAACATACACCGTGCAGTCTTCAAGATCTGAAAGAGATGATCAGGCACATGGTGACACGCCGATGACTGTTCACCGCTCCTACCAAGACGAGGTGCCCATACTAAAGCAATTCTCCCTTGATAGATGCCCCACTCAGCCCTCCCTGGGCACTCTCCCAGAATGCGTACTAACGCCGGGAAAGTGGCTGTCCCCGCTGATAACAACCAACCCGAGGTGGTTGAGTGGTCCGCTATCACACGAGTTGATCCGAGATATAAGAAACCTCCAGGCCGCTGAGCAAAACGAGATCAATAGCAAGGCTACAAGCGGCTTACAGCAAATAGAAGTACCTGCAACTGAGGGATTGCTATCGAAACCTAGCCGCTCGCCGACACAAGTGAGTACGATGTCTCATAGGGTTTATTGTGTTCCGTATGTGTGGCATGTCTATAGATCTGTCTCTCCTGCCATGAATCGGAGTCTTACCGACCTACAAGCACAGTATATCGCTCGTTGCCTTACATTGGTGATAAGCGCAGCACAGATTCGTCTCAGCTGTAACAACGCATGCACCAGCAAAGGTACTAGCGGCAATACTGACTTTTGTTTGGACAGAGGACAAAACGATCGCACAACTTTATCTGAAATTGGGAATACGAAGTGACGTGATTATTCGCCGACAAAGCTAATTAGAGTAATATTGACATAGTCTATCTATTACCTGGTTCTACCGCCATTGTAGACAATATTTGACTGAAAGAATAGACATAAATGTAAGTACTTCTGTACTTGTATTGGCGTATAGCTGTATGCGTGCATCCACACATCAGCTTCTTCCGCCGTGCGACATATCCACACATTGCTCACTACTATATTATAGTCATCTGCCTAGAAACCTACATATGAATTGGGTTCGTCTTGTTTTAATTCGTGGAAGATACGCAGACGTATACACATGCCCTTTTAGTTTTCCATGCTGCCACAGGAATCGAGCCTTGGCCCAAGAGTGGATGTGTATGTGGTGTGCTTTTGATCCAACCTCACTTCACCGTACACAGGCGGATAGCACTACTTGCCAAGGCGATATGACAAGAGATATGGATGCTCCCCAAGCTGAATCAGATATGGAGATGGTTCTGGACGACTATGTGAGTTCCTCATCCGCTGCTAGCGACAAAAGATACAGTCTAAAACTCAGACTCAACCCATACAAGAGGACAAGAGGTGAAGGTGGTGACGTATCTACCAGAGCGAAGGATGACGGACATGCGTGCTGGGAGAACAGAACTCGCTACAGTTGCCGAAATACCGTGACTTCGATTGAGCAGGGTGCTTCTCCAGGAGTTGATGTCGGTATGATTGGGCTTGAAACGCAACAACGGACCACAAAACGCACGCCGAGAAGTTGTACAGTAAAGCAAGAGTCCAAGGCACTCAATCAGAATAGACCAACCCAACGGACACGCTGTATAGATACGAGTGTGTTTAGAGGTAAAAGACGGGAGGACATATACAAGGCGAAGGCTGGGCCGAGGGGAAGTGGGGTGGTAAAGATGGAAGTAAGGGGGAAGAAAAAGCAAGCCGGCAGGCGCACAGAACCCCAACAGACCGTTGAGTACAAAAAACTGATTCAAAGGTAGGCGTGGATGGTACTATTTATACATGCATATCTTACATATCTTAGACGCCAGTTTCCATGGATATAGACATAATTCAGTGAATGTATATATATATATATATTTATATATATATGTATATATATACATATATATATATATATATATATATATATATATATATATATATATATATATATATATATATATATATATATATTATATATATATATATATATATATA